CCTGCCCTTTTTGAAGACTGGAGTGACATTTTGTTTATGTTATTATTAAGCAAAGCACAGCTTTTACACCTTCAGTCCTGTCCTTCAAGCTGTTCCCCTTACATGTAAGGTACTGGTGTAAGTTAATTCTGTCAGCTCCATAGTCTTCAGGTAACATTTTCCAGCAAGAGAGCCTTCCAATTTCTTTCTCATTTGTGGTTCTTCCTTAAAAAGTAAAAGGAGTAATGTCAAATACCCAAAAGATTTTGGAAAGTGACAAGTTTACTGTCAGTTGGAAGGATGCTGACTTTTGTATTAAATATATGCAATATTTCTTTTACATTCTTGTGACAATTTAATCTTCTACTTTAAGCTGGAAAAGATTTGTTCTGAAGTGTTCGCTTTTAAACAGAACTGTCATCATACCGTGTTGTCAGCAAAATGCCATTACTGTTTTTTATTAAACATAAAGACCATTTCCTAATGTGTTTAATATTTTTTTGTTATTAAGTGTAAACAGGTTGCACAAGCTAATATTACCTAGTTTTGATCATGGAAAAATATCATGCAGTACAAGGATTAGATAGGAGCCCAAGTGTAACTCAGTCATTCCTTTTGACATCCCGTCAATAGGAATACTTCGTAGTGGATTATGCTTTAAGACTTTCAATGAGCAGATGCTATTTTAAGGAGCTTTCTTGTCATAAAACATCATGGGGGTTTACAGAATCCTGTAGCTGATTCAGCTTATTAATTTAAATAAGATCCGTTTCATTACAGTTTTATGATGTTCATCATTAAGGCTTTTATTCTTGCTGCTTGTATCCTAACAACATGGTTGAAGATAGACCACCAGTGCATAAGCAAATGTGATATGGTATCGTATTTCTGAGCCATCTGTCACACTGGTGCCTGGAAGATGTAGTGATCAGCCATCCTCCAGGAGCCCATGGGAAGTGATGGAGTGAACTTCCACATCTTGCTGGTCAGACAGCAGCAGCATCGAAACCATCTGTGCTGACACAAATTTGGCTGCCGAGGTGCAGACACAAAAGACTGAATAGTCACATATGGTGCAGGATTGGAGGTCAGGCCCCACACGTTGGACCTTGATGAGTGAAGTTACAGCACATCACATACACAGGGGGCGGGTGTTGCTGCTATGATATAGTAGTACAGCGATCACAGACCTCCTCTCAGTTTTGAAAACTCTTTTGATCAGCTCTCTAAACCAGCCTTTCTCACAAGCATCTGAAGTTGGAAAAAGTTAATCATTAGCTAGATTGTCTGTGAGAGCTTGTTTGAGGATGTCCGAGCGTCACAGAAACACGCTTCTCTGATAGATGCATCCTCAGCAATCTCTTCCCTTTTCCCCCATAAGTGTACTCTTGATAATCTTAAGCAGTAGCAGCTGGTTTCATGAACGTAACATCTTCGCGTTGGCACAGCCGTAGCCCTCAGTTAAGCTGCCCCTACTCCAGTGTTGTCTTTGGGAGAAAATAGACTCATTCCCTTCCTGCCACTGGCTCCTACAGGTATATAATTAACTTCTTGCCTATATCAGTGATACATTTATTACTCTCCTGTCTTGTCCTGCTACTCAGCTCATTGATTAAAGTAAAAAGCAAAACTCCACCTGTCTGCTGCTCCAGGGTAGAGACATGAATGAGGTTAATGTTACGTGTCTGAGATGAGGAGCCCTTATGGGGCTGTAGGAGAGATTCTTACTTGGACAGGCACATAAACTGAGCCATAATCTATCCTTAGAGCAAAGAGTGTCTTGGGAAATTAGATCAGTCTGAATACTGAAAGGGTTTAGGTATATATTCTGTGTTTTCTTTCAAATGGATCAGCAGATTTTTTTTATTTGGGTCTGTATTTCCAGGACAGTGTTATTGATTTTATTCGTTCCGCTGTTACTCTCTGGCTTAGAGATGAAGAGGTGTGAAGTCTAATAACATGCGCTTTTCTGTTGTATATGGCAGTTAACTCCTTTTCAAAATGCGTGATATATTGCCTCCTCCACTCATTCAGACTCAGGTGAATGACACGTAAGGAGAGGTCTTTCGGGATTAAAGGTCTTTGAACTCATTTATGGTAGCCATCATTCCTGTTTATGACACTGTTCTCACAGTGAATTCAGGATAGCACGACTGTGATGTTAACAACATAGATTAATAAAACATTTTTATAAAGCCCTATCCTTTGGAAGAGGGATGATTTTTTTTTTAAGTAGATTAAAAGGCTTAATTGTGTGTTTCATGGTATAGCCTGTACAGGACTGAAGGCAGCTCTGGTATATATGGGAGCACTGTGCAGTGGATAACTGGTATTGCATTATGTAATGCAGGCATTATATAATGAAGGGCTGGCAGTCCCTAGAGTGTCCTTCTCTTGGTAGATCTACAGTTGTCCTCTGCCTTGCTGAAATATTAAGGAAACTAGTTCTTTTTTTTTTTGTCTATAATTTATTTTCAAGATAAAACCATCATAACGCACTGTGGACGCAGCATTTGTTTTACTTAGTTTTTCTCAGTCTGCTAGGAATCCATTGACATTAGCAGTTTTCAGAAAAGAAAAAAAGCAAACCATAACACAACATTGTTTTTTAATCTTGGTGAATACCTTTCCCTAGTTCCTGAAAAGGAGTGAAGATGTTGTAATAGGGACAGTTTATTTTTCACAAAGTATGTACACCTTTCTTTAACTATTAAAAAGTATGTGTATCATTCTTCTCCACATAAGAACTTTTCCAGATGTTTGAGGAGGGGCATCAAACAGCCAAAGCCTCTGTAATCCGTGGTCACTTTTGTAAATCGTGGCCACAGTACATCGCATAGATCTAAGCAACAAATTGGGGAAGTAAATGTAGCTCTAAATGATTAAGAGATATTTTTTATATTGCTGCTCAGGGAAGTAAATAGACACTAAGGTGTCTATGTGCAATCTATACTTTCTGTTCTTAGATTCTGTTTCTTTAATTCTTGCATGTTCCTGGAAAGCATCTTACTTTACCAAACATGCCATAGGAAGCATTCACATATCCCAAAGGCAAATTAAAATCTATCGCCTGACAGTGTGATACATCCCAAGTGACATTTGTTCCTGCCAAACCTTGTTGTTGTTAGCCCCAAGGCATACTTTTTCAATGTAGTTTTAATTTGCTACAGTTGACAGTTCGTGAATTTTTTTCTAGAGTGGTTCTATATGCATAGACAAAACATGCCTTCTGTTGCTTGTTACAGAATGAATACTTGTATGAAGGTGTTGATGCAAGAGTTATAGAATATGAAGACAACAGGCCCCTCTTAGATATGTTCCTGCAGAAACCGATGGGTTTATTGTCGCTGCTGGATGAAGAAAGTCGATTCCCACAAGCAACAGATCAGACACTTGTAGGTAAGTATATGGTTTATTTCACAGTTTTGCAGGATGTCTCCCTATTAGATTTCTGTTTGGTGTGTCCAGTTGAGTCTAGTTACGTTTTCAGTGAACCCACATTCCAATGTCACAGTATGTTTAAGGCAGGGAGGCATGCAGGGATGGATGTGTCTTTGAAGTTGATAGAGCATCATCAAGAGTGCAAATGAACCGAAGCTGATGATCCAGCTTTTTAATTCTTCTGCCTTCAGGAATTTTTCATTACGGGGCTTGAAAGATAAAGATCAAGCTGAGTTAAAACTCTAGGTTCATATGCCAACAACACTGTTTTCAAAGCTGAGTCATGTTCAGCTCTGACGTTTTTGATGAGCTGTATCTGAACAAGAATTTTAGTACTTTTTAAGGGTAATGGCTGCAAACCTGCCTCAGTGTCTTTCAGCAATTTATGCTTCCTGATCTCTTCTATTCAGAAATCAAAATTAAAACACCTAAATATGTTGCAATTCAGATCCTGAATGTTTTAGTTGCAGTTGATTTACTTATTTCGGTGAGGTTTGTGTGCAGATAAATACTTAGTTTACTCATTTTTGAATGTGCAAAGTGTCAGATGAGAGTGTTGACCAACACCCTAGTAAAATCCAGTAACAATGGCCATGCTAAAGCAATTATATGAATTTGTTATCTTTCTATTCTCATACTTTTTAATCTACAGTACAGAGGCCCCCAGTCAGTTGGTAAATGTTTCCTCACAATTCCCCAAGGAATCCTTAGGAAGGATTACTACACTGTTTCATATATGAAGATCAAAAGCTTAAAAGACAAGTGATTTTCTGAGGTCACAGAGAAAAAAAAATGGTACAAAGTTAAGTACCTGATTCAAGGGCTCCCATATTCTCTATCCAATGCCTTTTGTTACAATACCATTATAGTATCTTTGTCCTTAAAAACCTGAGTCTGTTTTATGCTTCTGTGTTGTCTGAGAAGTCAGGCAATATTCTCAGAGATATTCAACTTCAGAAAATAATTATTGTACAGCGATGCCGGTAAGATAAGCTATGTGTTTCCTTTCAGAAAAATTCGAAGATAATTTGAAGTCAAAATATTTTTGGAGACCCAAAAGAGTAGATCTGACCTTTGGGATTTATCATTATGCAGGAAAGGTAAGAGACCTAATGATATGCGTTGGGGATTGTGGAATGGCTGGGCTGGAAGGAAACAGAGAAAAGGTCAGCCGGGCTGTTTTTCAACCTTCATCTGTTCAGGCCTGACTTGAAAATGTTGTCAGTGCCTTACACATAAAAAGTATATTGAAAAGTTATTTTCTCTCATAAAAAAATAGCAATAGTAGGAGTGTATTTTTCTTAAATGTCACCAGGTAAAGGAACTGACTCTATTACAGAAGAACCAAAACCCTTATGTAATGCAACTGAGTGCTCTTTCCATTAGTTCCTCAAAGCCCTGTGCTATGCCTGTTCCCACTGTTTTGAGTCAGGATCCAGCTACATTCTTTCTACTACCTCCTACACCCTATCAGACTTACTTAGTTCTGTACTTTGTCGTCTGCCAGATAGATAGGGCAGGCTCTGCTTTCTCCTTCATTTGGTGAGCAGCGTCTTGCCCTCCTGTACAAGGTGACTTACTGTACTTGCCTTTCAAACTCAGGAGGAGTTGCTGACACATTGCAGCAAGATGCCACTGGTCACCTGAACCTTGCCTTGTGAAAGCAGGAGCTCGCACCTCCTTTTGAGCTCTTTTACAGGGTATGGAGTGGGCATTACTGTCTCACATAGGAAACTATGTTGGATCTGTGCAGTGCTGGAGCAGCTGCCCTGGAAAGAGCCAACATACTGCCCGTCAGCTGATGGAAGATAACTTGCCCCTTGTGTAAGACAGCCAGCTACAAACGGTCTGCATAACTCCTCTGAACCTCATCTCCAGCTGAATTACACTTGATTGGAATTTCCTGTTTCAGTGCTGAGGAGGAGAGCCAGCTCTCCTTGTACCATTCCAGATTTTTTTCTAAATTAAATATGCCCATATCTTCTACCCTTCTTCGCAGGTCAGGTTTTCTTGTGGATCCTTTACAGCATCATTGAGATAGAGCTCTGGAGGTTCATTCTGAGTTAGGTACACCATTCCTGGAATTTTTAGAGAGATTTCAATTGCTAGTATGCAGTTTGTGATTTTGCAAATTTCCTCTACAATTAATAGAGTTCTCTAGGAAGAGTGGCAAGTCCTGGGTCCAGAATGGAACAGAAAGATTGTATAGTAATATGGGTAATCCTGTGTGATATGGTTGAAAACAAGTGCATTGCTAATTGTGCATTTACACATGCACTGGTGTAAGGGAGGACTACAATACACTTGTCCTAGTGATAAGTCTGCACTGGCTAAAACTAGTACTAGCGTATCGGCATTAGGGAAAAGAAATGCCTCAAGCTGCTTTGGAATGATGGATTTAGTTTTAGTGATCTGCATCACAATGATTCTTGGTAAGGAAAAGTTAGAGCTTTCAGTAATCAAAAGAAATGTTAAGCAAGAGCCAGTCTGATGGCTGAAAAACTATTTGTATATCTTGGTATACTAAAAGCCACATGCCAAAGTGTTTAAATATACAATTACTTCTCAGAATCCCAGAAGATGCATAAATGCACTTTTTAAACAGGTTCTATATAACGCAAGCGGATTTCTAGCCAAAAATAGAGATACTCTGCCAGCTGATATTGTGCTGCTACTGCGATCATCTGAAAATAATCTGACGCGACAGTTGGTAACCCATCCTCTTACAAAAACAGGTATTGCTATTGTGGTAATCTTCACATTCTCTAGCCTTCATGATGACCACTTCTAGGTTTCATATGACCATTTGTTGATGACATTATACACTTTGTGGCTTAACTTTCCAACCCTAGAATCTATACAGAATGGATCCCCAGCCATCTCAAGCTGCAGGGGAGGGATTGGTCTGGTCAAGTGCCAAGGAAGTGGTAGAGGCTTCTTTCAGGGTCCTGTCTTCAGGGTAGGGGAGCAAGACAGGGAATGGATTGCATCTCTTGAGTTGAGGACTGAACAGAAAGGATCAGGTAAGTCACTGTCCTTTTCTGGACAGGGAATATACAAAATGCCTGTTTTATCTCAGTGCAATTTTTCTCTGAAGTAGTGGAGAACCAAAGTTGAAGCTCCTAACATCTACTGCAAGGAACGAGGAGACACTCCTGCATTTCCCCAGTCTTTCAGTCCTTTACAGTAGGTAACTGATGGAATCCTAGTAGTTAGCCCCTTCCTTGGGCAGTTCATACATTGGGATGGAGAAATATGACCAGCTCTATGAAATTATTCTTAAGTTGCACCTTAGTTGCACCAGGTCCTTGCACAGTGTCCTACGTGCCATTTTAGGATGATGAGTAAGTCTTACAACCCGTTTACTATTGTGTTGTATTACTCCCTCTGTGATGATATTGATGCCATACGATAAGTACTTCACAACATTGCTTTCTTGTACAACTACATGGGAGCTGTTCTTGTAGTAGAATGAAAAGGCTAAATTGGAAGAGCCTAATGGAAATTTCTCCAAAATGTTATTATAGGTTACATATACTGAAGCTTTGGCAAGGCTCCTGTTCTTCACAAAGGGAGCTTTGCTGGTGAAATGCAAAATTTGGTCTTGAAGGTGTCTTTTAATTCAGTGTTCCTGGGAAAACACTAAGCTCAGTGTCTTTGCCTGTACTTCTTGACTTGTTGATATCTGCTAAGATACTAAACTATAATTTCTGTAGAGCCAAAGTCAGGATCCAGATGGTCTCAAGAACTGATCCCAAGTGTTATGTATTGTCTTGCAATATAATTCTGAAGGTTGTTTTAGTCTTCCTGTTAAATATTATGAAACACTGTGTGTACCTTTTTGAAACTGATGCAAACCATTGAGCTATAACCAACTAAAAGTTGGATTTCTGATCTAAGGTATTCATCTAGAATCAGTGGAAATTTGGAGGTTTACCCAGAGTCCATCCCATCTTTCCTGTCTCAGATGTTTCTCTTGGGATGGGATAAATCTCCTTGAGGGTGCCTCTCTCCACTGAATACAGCAGGGATCCTGTAGACAGCTCTCTTCCAGATAGCTGAAGTTAGGTGTGAGTAGTCCTCTCTCTTCCAACTCTGTGATACTTCAGCTAAGCCCAAAGGCAGTTGAGCACTTGATATACATGACACATTAGCTCAGCATGCTGTCTATTTGCAGCTGTTTATCTGCCTCTTACCCGCCTCTTACTGATAGTAGCTGGGAACAGAGAGGTTATAAGCTCTGCCAGTGGAGAGTGAGATTCCAGAAGCAGAAACAGTGGCAGCATGCAACAATGGTTGAGGTTTATCAACACAGAGTAACATGAGGGAAGGCTCAGCAGAATTTTTGTTATTCCATTAGAAGACCAGTGTCTGTGTAAGCCACTCCAATGTACCTAATGTGTCAAGTCATCATACAAAAGATATTACTTGATAACGAATTCCAAGGTTAGAGTCTTAAGACTATGTCTGTGCTAATAAATCAAACAGGGCCGGTGAACAATAGCTGAAACAGTCCCCCAGGATTGCCCATTCTGCTAATTGTTAGCATGCCCCCTTGGGACAGTTTTGAACCATGTCACTTAGCAGTCTCCCAGAAATACCCAGGCACACTTCAATAGAAAAGCACAGTTTCCAGTATGCTCTGTGGATACTTATTTTTACCAGGACATTAAAAGATTAGTGAAGTATAGAGTTTAGCTATATAGACTTGGGTCATGCCATACCCTTCCCTCAGGGGCAGAGAAGGATGCTAGTACTTTTTAAAAAAAAACTAACATATGTACCTTAGAACAAGAATAGTACAATAACATCCTTAGGGTAAAACCACGTGAATGCTCTAAGATGTGTTTTTCTAACCTTCTGCAGTCTGTTTGTTGTGGTTTTTTCTTCTCTAGTAGGTGACATAAGTCCTGAAGGAGGAAAATTCAGCCCATGTTCCATTTCCATGCAACTTTGTTAGAGCTTGTTCCGTCCAAAGGTTGAAAAGGAAAATGACGACATACTCCAAAAAAAGTCAATGGTTTTTCTAAACATATGATTACGCTGGGGGCATGAATAAGGTGGTTCAGCATAGTTCTTAGTTTGGATGAGATGTAACCATTTTGGTAGGTTGCTTTCTTTTGTCTTCCCATAGGTAACCTGGCACACACTAAAAGCAAAACTACAATCAGTTACCAAATGTGGACCCCCCAGAAATCAATCAGTCATACAAAGGTAAGAAAGCTACTTTTGTGATTCTTCACTGAACCTCAATTTAAACTACAAAGGCAATACTGTTATTGGTACTGAAAGTAAGCAAGTAACCCCTTCCTTGGTTTTTCTCCCTCTCCTATTTTCTTTTCTGTTTAGCTGGATATCTTTGTGTTGTGCAATTCATATTCCTTCCGTGAGGTAAAACCCTAACATTTCCCTTCTTTCTGGCTGTAGTTTTAAAAAAACTTCAGGGGAAAAAGAAACAACCCTATTTCCTAGATGTAGTGTAGCAAATGACAAATTAAAATATTGGTGTGGTGTATAGTCACGCTCCTTAGAGAACTACCAAAATAACAGTGATGATGATGAAGCAGAGAGGACCTCAAACATTGTCAGGTTATTGGTGGCAGTTATTTAGATGCTCCATTATCAAATTGTGTCTTCTGTGAGTAAACATTTGTGTATTGAGTAGCAAAGTAATGTAATGTACTGGTGGTTTAACTGATTTGTGCTAGTGATTGTGCTGTAACTTTTTCTGTTTAGAATACTATTTTTTTAATTATTGATGTTCTCTGATGGGTGCTTTGTTGTGTCATTGGAAGGGGCACTGCAGGCTCAACAGAGATAAAAAGTGTCATTTTCATTCTTCATCTTTATAGAATGAACCAGGAGATACCGGACATCATCCAAGAGAAACAACCAGCATGAAAACACAGACAGTCGCTTCTTATTTTAGAGTAAGATATCAGATCTTTTAATAAATTTTTCTAGACTATAATGAATATTTATTCTTTCACCTTTTGGAATGCACCTGCTGACGTGGAGATCCTCCGCAGCGCTACATACTGGGGGAAGAGTGGCTGGAGAGTGGCCCAGTAGAGTGGGACCTGGGAGTACTGGTTGGCAACTGGTACAACACGATCCAGCAGGTGCCCAGGTGGCCCGGAAGGCCAATGGCATCCTGGCTTGTATCAGGAACAGTGTGGCCAGCAGGAGCAGGGATGTGATTCTGCCCCTGAGCTCAGCACTCGTGAGGCCTCACCTTGAGCCCTGTGTGCAGGGCTGGGCCCCTCACTGCAAGAAAGACCTTGAGTGGCTGGAGTGGGTCCAGAGGAGAGCAACGAGGCTGGGGAAGGGACCAGAGGGAAAGTCCTGTGGGGAGAGGCTGAGGGAGCTGGAGGTGTTTAGCCTGGAGGAGAGGACACTCAGGGGGAACCTGATCACTCTCTACAACTCCCTGTACGGAGGGTGTAGTCGGGTGGGGGTCAGGCTCTTCTCCCGGGCAACCAGTGACAGGACGAGAGGGCACGGCCTGAAACTGCATCAAGGGAGGTTTAGGTTGAATCTCAGGCAGCCCTTCCTCATGGAGAGGGTGCTCAGGCACTGGGATGCACTGCCCAGGGAAGTGGTGGAGTCACCGTCCCTGGAGGTGTTTAAGGAGCGGCTGGATGTGGCACTTAGTGCCCTGGTCTGGCCAATGTGATGGTGTTGGGTCATAGGCTGGACGTGATGATCTTAGAGGTCTTTTCCAGCCTCAACAATTCTGTTATTCTGTGATTCAAGAGAGATCCATTTAGAATTTGTCAACTGCATATATGGTTCAGCGGTCTGTGCAGTACAAGTAACTGGGGGACATTGTGATGTTTCATCTAATTATACTTGATTATAGAGATGTTTGATATTAATATTTCACTTGCTTGTTTTTCCACCAAAGGAGATAAAGGGAGGGTGGTCGTTAGTGGTATAGCATTTCTTTGAGAGTTGAAGAAGCAAGAGGGCAAAGTTAATTTGAAGTCATCTCTCCCAGTAAAAACATTGAGATGTCTGAGGTGATGCTCATGACTTCTAAGAGTTCATTTACATCTATGACAGAGAACAATGAGGAGCAAGATCTCTGTTTAGTAGATAACAGTTGCACAGCTTTGTGGACTGCAAAGATAATTTCAGTGTAAGTATCATAGTGGTCCAAGGCTGTATGCTATTTTAAAGTGCTAGATGAAAAAGTTTATTTAATGTCTGTGATTCAGTGCATTACCAACACATGTTGCATCAGAGGCTGCAAATGAGTTAACTCTATTTACACTTTCCTGTTACTATTTTCTGTAGCGGAAAATCTGCGCAGATCATGCTCGCTAATGCTCTTAAATGAAGTTCAGCTTCAACCCCACTGATTTGCTCATATGCAGAAGTCTATGGGTGATTGAGAAAGGCATCTGCCACCTCAGACTGAGTGGAAAAAAGAATTATCCATTAGCGTGTCCTACTTGTTCATGTTCGATTGGCACACTAGTGGTGAAGCTAATTAAGCACTTTGCTGCTGCATGATGCAGCGTCTGTCCAGAATAGAATTGCACATTTTAATAGGAAACATATGGCTCTTGACGTCCTACACCAGTTTCATGTATCCAACTTACTGCTGAACTGCATTACCTTCTGGCTGCCTTTCTATTGAGTGAGGTTGCATCTTGAGGAATGAGCCTCTTCATTTGTGTTTTAATAAGATACTCCCATAAAGCAGTTTTATAAAAAAACAGTCAAGGTTGTTTACAACCAGAAAACACCTCAGCTGACATGAAAAGCTGCAAACTGCAACCCCTCTGATAGAATGGTACCCTGGTGAGGTGAGAAAAGTGCAACTTTGGAATTGTAATTTTGTAGATTTGTAATTTTGCCATCCTCAACAGTTTTCCTCTTGGTGGAGCAGCTGTAGTATCAGCCCATACAATGAACAGGACGTGCTAGATCAGAGCAGTTTAAGCTTGGGGGCCCTTAGTTTCCTTCAGTCTGATGAAGGCTTGGCAATATCTGCTGGCTTGCTACTCTTCCACTTCCCATCCCAGATGGATGGTTTACTCTCTGAATGAATAAAGACCTTCAAATAGGTGACAACAGGTAAAAGAAGTGGGCTATTATTACCTAATAAAGCTCCAAGAGAAGTAAATAAGTGTAAGGAGAGTTTCTGTCATATGTTAGACATTGTGGCAGTTTGTGAGAATGTTCTGGGTAGAACTGGGTGCATCCATTTGGAACCAGTTTAATACATGCTAGTACCTTAGAGATCTTATCAAAGCTAAAATTGTTGGGTCATTACTTCATCTACCCTGAAAGTATCAGCTTACTGGAATGTAAATGGGTTTGGACATGATTCTCATCATGTGAAATAAAATTTCAGCTACACATGGACCTATATTCAAGTTTTATAAATACCCTGGTGGCAGATATCTTATTACTTTCTTGCAGTATTCTCTGATGGATTTGTTATCCAAAATGGTCGTCGGCCAGCCTCATTTTGTCAGGTGCATCAAACCAAACAATGACCGTCAGGCAAACAAGTTTGATAAAGAAAAAGTATTGGTTCAGCTGCGTTACACAGGAATTCTGGAGACGGCAAGAATTCGAAGACAGGGATATTCACACCGTATACTGTTCGCTAACTTCATAAAACGGTAACATTGATGTGAAGAAGCCTTTTTCTTTCCTATTATTGCTGCTCAGTGTTTGCTAAGCATCAGCCATGTTTTTGGCATAGTCTTTAAAGAAAAATTACAGAGACGTTTCCTGTGACAAAAAAGATGACAGATTGGATGGCAAAGAGTAGTTCAGTCACAAGATTAGCGACCTATTTTGAAAGGGTAGGGCTGGATGATGCATCTCAGGATGATCGGTTTAACTTCTCTGTGCATTCAGATAAAAATTGCCATGTTTATTACCTGCAGGTTTTCTTCAAAGACTAGGGGTTTAAAAAAGTAATACTTCAAAGCCTAGAATTTGGAGCGATAGCAATTAGGGAGCACCACATTTTCTCTAGCTCCTGACATTCAGCACTGTACAGCACTGTGCAGGGTGGATGATAATTTGATATTGCTAATCTAGGTCTGAGAAGTTCCTTAAGTGCATAGTTTTGTTTAAAATGTAGTTTCAAAGTATTAGTCACTTGTTAAGAAAAGTAATGAACTCACTATGATTTTATAATTCCTTTAAGGCTCTGAGCAGCCTGATCTAGTGGAGAATGTTCCTGCCCATGGTGGGGGGGTTTGACCTTTAAGATCCCTTCCAACTCTGACAATTCTATGATTAACTGTCTCTTCTTCCTCCACTCCAAAAAAATCCTGAACACTTAATCTGTACTTCTCTCTTACAAATAAAGACCTTGAGTATTTGCCTCAGTCAGAACTGAGATTTGTGGAATGGAAACTGAAATTGGGAAGAAGCAAGCAACATCCATTCAGATAGAAGCACTCAGAAGTACTAGCGTGCTAGAAACAGAGAGCAAGCAGCAGAGCACTGCAAGTGCATGAGGAGAGAGAGGAAGGACAAAATGATGTTTTCATAGCACTGTTTCTGGAAAAAATAATCCTGGGACTGTTACTGTTTTGCAAGAGTGCAGCATGGAAGAAGGTAATTATCACAGCACCAAGATGTGCTGTGGCTTTTGGTCATTCCTTTTTACTGAAAATTTTACTGCTCAGGTAAAAGAGAGGAAAGCAGTGAACATCAGGTGGTAGCTCACCAGAGAGCGTGCCCCTGATTGCAGTGAGGCTGTGCAGCTCTCCGGCACTGACAGTATGGCCTTCAGACAAAAAGCGATTTTTGTTAGATATCTATCTCCTGTTATTTTTTCTTTTTCTTTTCATAGTTGAGAGTTACAGGTAGGCCTGGGATAATGCCAAAATTATTTTGTGTGAATAAAAATAACACAATTCATTGTGTAGTAAAAAGAAAACAAAAAGGAGCTGTAGGAATTAGTGATGGTGCAGGAATTGCCTTTTTTATTATTCCATGAGGGAATTGTTGCCCTTATTTAAAGCTGGTGCAATGCAAGCTTTGTGTATAAAGGCTGAATAACAAGAAAAAGACAGATTGTACTGTCAGGAAGCACACATATTTCATGTAATTTTCCTGGATTTAAAAAAAAACAAAACACTAGATAAGATTCATTTTGTTATGGAGCATTTTGGAAAGTCCTGGAACACACAAGAACTTCCTACCCAGCAACTGAGCTGGTACATTACAGGTAATTTTTATGCATGAGCATCATGACCTCTTTTCCTAGCCAGAATTAATTCTGAGTAATGAGTTTGCTGGATTAAATGCTTACATATGGTATGTCATAACAGCATGTATATGTTTCAAAAGGTCTGCAAAGCTGAATCCAAGGTGGTAACAAGAGCTGGGTTGCATCTCACATCATGTTAACTATCACAGAGGTCTAGCATATGAGATATGAAATTTTCATGACATTTCTACCTATGAAATAAGCTATTTTAATCAGAAAAGCTTTAAAAATAATTTTATTTTGCCACTGAAATCACTTTCATAGGATGCAGAGAGCCAGAGCAGCAAAGAACTGATGCACAACTCTGTTCGGTTTGCACACTTTTTAAAAGCCTTCTGCTGTTGATATTAAACAACCCTCCAGGGTGAGCAATATGTCACTCATCCAGTTTTGATTTAAGTTTCTCAGTACTGCATATAAATCACAGCAATTTCTTTCATATGCCATCTTGGTTTTTTTCAGTGCTATGCTTTCTTTCACGCAACTGTTCTTATTAAATGTGTGGCTTAAATGTGTTTGCATCTATTGCTTGTTTATTAATGGAATAAAGAATCATATACTTGTCTTTAGGTATTACCTCATCTGTTACAAAACAAATGATGATCCTCCAGTCAGCCCGGAAACCTGTGCTGCCATCTTGGAAAAAGCTCGCCTTGACAACTGGGTTCTTGGAAAAACTAAAGTAATTTTTCAGTATACTGTATCTGTATTATTGCAGTATGTCATTGTTAACTTATTAAGCAATTTGTTTTCTCACCCACTGGGTTGGGGTAGCTCTTGATCTTATTAATTTAAAGAAAACACCCTTTGCTAGGTACAGTTCCCTGACACCTGGCTGAAATCCTGACCCTGTAAAGTTAAAATTCCAGTCAGCTTTAGTGAGGCCACAGTGCAAAGGGACATGTGGTGATACTGCTTGCATTTTCTTTCAAAATATCTGGTAGTAAGGAATCCAGTGAGCTTAGTCCAAGCTTTCTTAAGGAAAAAAAAAAGGTTATACTTCTTCCCTGTAGCAAGTTATACTTCTTCCCTGGTCTCACAAAGGGAGAGGAAAAGGTTCTGACTTTCCAGTCTGAGGCCTGTCTGGCAAATTTTGCTGAGCACTGGGGAAAGAGAGAGCAGGATGATCCCATATATGTAAAGTTCGGGGAAGACTTTATTATAACAGAAACACACTTCTGTTCTAGCTCACTAGTCTTCTGGATGTGCCAGAGAGGGACACCCACCCACCCCCAGCTGACAGATCTCAGGAGGTCTGCCAGAGAAAAGAAGCGTCAGACAAGTATTGCACCAAGTCTCTCTATTTGCTAAGGTAACAGAACTGCCCAGGAAAGATATGGAGAGAGATCTGGATCCTAAACTATTTGAAATTACCTAAGTGTAGAGGAAGCAGCTGTCCTTCTGAGACGTCTTCCTGAATAAGTGAGACAGAAGCCCTGAAGTTGGCTCTTACTCAGCCTTTATTTCCCCCTGCTGTCTTGGTGAGGCTCATGGACAGCATGCAGCCAAAAGAAGCATATCAAGATGCGAGATCTGTAGGTGTCTGTACCAATGAGCAATGGCAGATCAGGAGAATTCTGCAAAATAAGCGTAATTATTGTCTTAATTGCAGAAGCTCTTTCTACACATTTTATTTAATCCTAATAGACACCAAGAATGTGTTTGTATCACATGTGGTGGAGTAGTTTTTCAGGCGTTGTGTGATCTTCGTACCTGATAAAAACAATTTAGTAAAGAAACAATGTCTTCAATTTAAAATTGGAAAACAGAGGTTGAAGTTTCCAGATTTGGGTCATGTTTATGTAACATACATCAGGTTTGGGAGGTTAGCAAAACTGTCAGCCTCGTAGATTTAAAAACACATTTATAGTTACAGACTGAAATTTTGCACTGGGACTTTAAAACATCTTCCCATGAAAGCATTAAAAACCAGGGGCTTACAAAAGATGTTGAAGGTGAGAATATGGTAAATTAATACTCCAAACAATGAAAATGCCCTGTTTAACAAGACCAGATGTTTACTACTACTGCGCGAGTCTGTTCGTTGTTTGAACCAGCTTGTAACTCCTGTTGTTAAATTGATTGAGTGAATACAGGGCCTGGGAGGGCAACTAAAACTTTTGCTTGTCTGCCTACTCTTTTTAAGGTATTCCTTAAATACTACCACGTGGAGCAGCTAAATTTAATGCGGAAGGAGACAGTCGACATGATTATTTTGATTCAAGCTTGTGTCAGAGGGTGGCTGGGTTCAAGGAGATACAAAAAGATAAAGGAACAAAGGGAACAAAGTGCTATTAAAATACAGTCAGGTAATAGTTTTAAAACATTTAACATTTTGCTTAAAGCTAGTACGTATGTACAGTTGACAGATGGATGTGCATGCTGGATGCAGATTTTGCTGTTTTCCTGCTGTTGTATTTGACAAAATATCTTATACTTTGTGATATCTGTTCCTATGAAGAAAAAATTATTTTAACCAGGTTATGACAATCTCTTTACCGAAATTACATTTATCAGTTACATTTAAAAGGCAATTTTAACAATGGAAGGATGTGATTGCACAGATAATACTGTTATTAATAATATTCTGGCATGCTCTGACAAGGTTGTGTAATATAATAATGAAAATAAAATGTATTAACCATCCTAGATAGTAAGACCAATTACACAGTTGATGGAGACATCAACTGAGATTTTTAATACATTTCAAACATCATGTATTTAACATTCTAATTCTTTTGTGATTTATATTATTTTCACGCATAACTTTAGTCACCAGAAGAAATAGTTTTTGTGTAGATTTACTGTTTGTGCTTGTTTGTCAATTTTTTTGAAGGATAAAGACTTAAAAAGATCTATGAATATTTTAATGGAGGTCTGTAATTCATTCCAGACTTCTTTTATTCTTCAGCCTTTTGTGTACCTAATGGATTGTTTAATTTTTGACATCTGCTTTCAGCTTATAGAGGATTTGTTGCTCGTAAAGAATACACAAATGCAAAACGTAATAAAAAAGTGGAAGAATATATTACTAGACTTCAAGCAAGTAAGAATTGTTTGCTTTTGTGGCTTTTAATGTGCTATCCATACACAATATGTTGATCCAGATTCTGTGCTATTACTTAGCTACACTGACTGACTATGCTCATTACCACATTCCAAGGTATAATTTATCTATTATATATCTATATACAGTGGTTGAATGGGTCAACATATTCTTTTACCTGTACCTCAAAGTGGCTTAGAGGCACTTTCCAGAGCTGTGAAATGTGCTGGTTAAATGCCGTAGAACACCTTTTCACTCCTAGTCTGATGTGTCTATTGCAGCCGCTACTGCCAAAGCCCCATATGACACAGTCTGCTGATCATATGTGTGTGTGTGCTGTTCTATTAGGAATAGGTTCTGTTATATATCAGTAATAGTTGTGTTTGAGAAAACTACGACCTGTAATTTCACTCATGTCTCTGGTTCTTTTTTGCCATTGCTCCACACAACGTAGCAAAATATTCCTTCTCTTCTGCAGCAATAATCACCTTGAGCCCAGATGTATGCTGTGCGACAACCCTTTTTCCTCGCTGTAGTTGTTTCCCCCAACTCTGCAGAGATGTCCCTGAGCCACATGTGGTCTAGACAGCTCTGAAATCAACAGCAACACAACTAGAGACACAGATCTGAAAACAGCTGGCACAAGTCTGCACAGCACTTCCAGTAATTATAAAGGTGTCAACCCCGAAAATAAGCTAGTGCTGCCACTACCCAGGCTATCTAGATTTAAACTACCTCAGATACGTCTTCGTGAGGATATTCCAACACCAGAGTTAGTTTTAATCATTGGCAGATGTGTCCATTAATTGCACTGAGCCAATGTTAGTGTGTACTGAAGAGCTCTTCACTGCAGTCGGTAGAGCTTCATCAGTGCAGAAAACAATCTAAAACTAGAATAAAATCCAGTGATATGCCGAAAAGTAATTACACATCTGAGAGTTGTCAGTTTCTCATGCTTTAATCCCAGCCAACAACTAAGCACCACGCAGCCGCTTGCTTACTTCTCCACCCTCCCAGCGGGATGGAGAGGAGCATCACTAAAAAGGTAAAACTTGTGGCTTGAGATAAGAACAGTTTAATAACTCAAATTAAATAAAATTTAAGAATAGCAATAATTATAACAACAGCAACAATAATAATAGCAACTGTTATTAAAAGAAATATAACAAAAAGACGGAGAAATAATAAAGCTCAAGGAAAGACAAGTGATGCACAATGCAGTTGCTCACCACCAGCTGACTGATGCCGGAGCAGCGATCAGCCCCTCCAGGCCAACTCCTCCCCAGTTTCTCTGCTGAGCGTGTCATTCCATGGTATGGGATATCCCGTTGGCTAATTCGGGGCAGCTGTCCTGGCCACACTCCTTCCCAACTTCTTGTGCACCTGCTCGCTGGCAGAGCATGGGAAACTGAAAAATCCTTGACTTAGGGCAAGCGCTACTTAGAACATCAGTGTGTTAACATTGTTCTCTCACTAAATTTAAAATACAGCACTGTACCAGCTACTAGGAAGTAGTAGCTGAAACTAAGACACAAGAATATTAGGGTATTTAGCAAATGCAAAAGTATGAATTTACAGCTTTGCTCTGTTTGTTGGTCTCCCCAGTGTTCCTTCTTGTCCACCTTCTCTGTCCTTTCTGCAGTTTCATTTCAACTTTTTACAGTGCATGAGAAGCCAGAACGAAATGGAAGTCCATTTTTACTTAGCTCTCTCATTTTTTACCTATTTATTTCTAAATCAATACAAAACTCCTCTTCCAGTTTGAAAACAAGGCTTAAACAGCTACCATCTCATAACAAAGTTCTCAGGAAACTTCAAATATGAACCACATTAAGTGTGAAAAGACCAGACTTAGATTATATTGGCACGTCCATTGACAATGTAACTTGATTTATTTTGAAATACTTCCTTTTGAGTTACTTTTGTATGAAAATGGAATGAGGATTGGCTCAGAAGTCCAAGAAACTCTAGTATTCCAAGTGCTTTGCAATTTGCACTTTTCTAAGGCTCTGTCAGTCGGCAGTATAAAAACCAATTGTGCTGCTTCGAGTACGTGTTTGGATTCCTTTACCCTATAGCCAGTTATCAAGGTGTAATTTATGTAATTCTTACACTGAACCACTGCATCTAGTGGTGCCCAAGTTGGTCTAAATTATGAATGGGAAGTGCTAAAGCAAATAAAACCTAGTACGAAGTTATGTGAATGTGTTAGAACAGTCTGCTTATGCTCCCTTCCCATTCTTAAGTGAGCTTGACTTCTCACTGTGATGCAAAACACTCTCAGCAGAGTTGGAGTAAGAGCTCCCATATCTACCAACTCCTCAGGGTATTTAAATCACCGGAATCCTCTATCCCTATAGTCTTGGTACTGCATTTGCAATTAGAGTTCAATAGAAATATTTTGCCCAGGGATTAGTGGATTTGTGCTGAACCTCTGGAATTGCAGACTTGTCCAAATCACAGCACTGTAGACACTGTGCCAGTTCACATTAGGAAATTATTTGCAAGTTCAGGAATTTTTGAAGCAACATTCTGAATGCAATTCAGCTTCTGATTAAGACACTTAAGTGTAGATGTCTGAAAGTGACCCAGGTGTCTAAACTCCTCTTACAGTCAGCAGAGCGTAGAGTTTGATTCATTATCCAAACCCTCTAAATGCTAACCTCATTTGTCCCCACACTGGTATCTAGTGTCATTTGAGATGCCCTATGTTATCTTGCCTGGCTTCCAACTTTATTTCAAGTGGTATGCCTAACATTCTCTCTTCAGAAAGTCCCATCTGTCTTGTTCTTTCTGCCAGCTCCATGTAGATGCCTTGGCAATCCTGGAGCACTTCAGATGGCACTAGATACCTGTGTGCCGGCAACTGCAGCAAGCCCCTGGTGACTAATCAGCACCTACACGTCTCAGGGAAGACCCATGCTTGAGTCCTTATTCATCCTGCTTCATACCAGAAACTTGAACTTGTGCCTCCCACAAAGCACAGGTGGTGGTTACCCTTGCCATTTGCCCCTGGTTACTGTGGAGTTTAGCACATCTTTTGTGCTGAGCTTTTTCATTTTGAATAATCAGTTTTTGTGAAAGGAGCATGTTTTAAGTTTCCTGTAACTACTGAGCTATAAAATTTTCATTTTTTCCCTCTGATCTACTGAATGTTTAGCTAATTCCAAGCCTGTGCCAGAAGAGAGCCTGGTGGTCTCTGTAGACTGATAATCAGGCATTTCCCAGGGAAATGAAAGACAGTCAAATCAATTGCCTGAATCAGGCAAAACAGGCACATGAAGCTATGAGCACAGTGTTCTTCTAGAGGCTCTTCTGTGGCACTGTGCTGCTTCTTCATTCTGCATCTTCCTGTTTATTCTTTATTCCAATGAAATACGAAGAAAGAGTTTGTATCCTCATGTAGAATGGGTACAGCTTTCTGAAATCTCAATACAATTTTGTGGGACAGAATAATTTTAGATGAAATATAGTCATAATAACTCCCCGGTCCATATTTCCTTTTTGTTTTTTGTTTAATGCTATAACCATTTGACTCTCTGAAATGTGTGGGACACCCGTTGCTCATTGCCTAAGGTTGTTTTGTATTACAATTTGTATCAGTTGCCAGAGGATACTTACTCAGGAAGAAGAGAAAAGAACTAACTGAGACGAGAAACAAAGCAGCAATAACAATTCAGTCTCACTACAGGGGATATAAGGAGAGGGAGATCTTCAAAAAGCGGAGGTAGTGTTATTTTCTATTATGTCACTCAAGTGTGTCCCTTTTCAGTAACTATACTGCTGAAGAACCGTGATGTAATCTAAAAGTGAAGCAAATAAGGATTATTGTAGATATGTATGCAGAGCTAATTTACATTTATGTGAAGGTTTTTAATATCAGTAGCTGATTTTCTTATATTTTTAAGCCCAGGGAATAAAGGCATATTTAGGGGAAAGATCAACAATAGTATGCTTACCTGTAATGTCAATGTAATCTGTAGATGAGTCTTTTTTTGGAACTAGCTCATGATAAAAAGTGTTCAGACAAGAGTGTGAAATGGCATTTGCAAGGAACTGTGGTTAAGTCACTGTTTGAGATAAGGAGACGTAATGACAGTGGGAATCCAGATGTCTTGCTCAGATCAAACAGCTAAAAGTTAGATGAGGTGAATCACATTCTGAATATCTCTGCAACGTGGTTGTAGTCCCAATCTTTGGAATGGAGCTAGTAGCACTTTGCTCATCACCATTGTTTTTTAATGATAAGATTTAAGTAGATGGAGATTAGTCCAGAGAGGTGGAAAACAGCCACAAAGGAGTCCAGTCTTTTAGAGGGAAGAAGGGGTGGCAGATTTCACCTGGCACTGAAGTTTTATTGATAGCAACAAAGACAATTTGGAGAATAGGTCTTTTAAATTTGACCTGGATCTATGCCCAGTATCATTCTTTTTGCATTCCTAGTGTGACTTGAGGCAGTTTTCTCTCATGAATACATTTAGGATTGCATGTATTTTTACGTATTTGAGGTGCTAGAAAGTTTCTGCCTTATGTTTTTGTTAACATTTAAATTAATTCTTTACTGTTTTATCAGCCTTTTTGCAGCCTAGATTGTCCCACTAGCAATTTTCCATGAAGAATTTAACAGGGATGTCCCTTTTCACTTTAAGAAGTAATGATCATCAGAAAAAACGAGATTGGTTTGCTATCTTTAATGCCAGCTGTATGCACCAAATCTTTCCCATGTTGCAATGTATCACATTGCCATTTAGTACACAAACACCACCAAAGGAAGTTGTAAAGTTGTCACTACCCTTCATGCCCTTCAGCTGTAATTTTTGCCCCAAACTCTATTCCATTCAGGGAATCAGTTAGAAAGGAACAAACTGAAAATACATCATCTGTTAGCGAAAAGGAAAAGGATGAAGAATTTCACGATAATGAGGAAAGTCCAGCTGGAGTGAAGAGTGCCCTTCCTCAAACAGAAGAAGAAGCAGTTGTCCTTATTCAGAGCTATTACAGAGGCTACAGAGTCCGTAAAAAAATAAAGGAAGAGCGCAAAAAAATAGCAGAGGAAGAATTATCTGCTGTGGAATTCCTTGAAGCACAACTACAGCCAGCTCAAAATAATACAGTAGAAGAAGCAGCAAATGAGGACACTCAAGATGAAGCTGATGCTGTTACTGACAGTGAGTGCTCTGGCTACAGTGATGTAGGGAATGTGCAGGAGCAACAGAAGACATATACTGAAGGAGAGGGGGCTTCTAGGAAGCAAAACCCTGGAACAGAACATGTTGGTGAAAGTGAAGAACAGGCCTCTTCAGAAGAGTTGTCCAGGAAATCTTCTGTCAAAATCACAGCTGAACCTAGTCCCCAGAAAGAACAAGATAAACAAGACACACTCAGTGCAGATGGGCAAAATCAAGAATCTGCTGTGGTCCAGCCCAGGACTGACAGGGGTGGGGAAAGAAACCACCTGAAACACGAAGCAGTGATGCCTACAGGATGTAAAGGAATTATAAGGAAAGAATCACTAAGAGGCTCACGAAAGCAAGTTGAAACAGAAAAACAAGGTTCAGAGGACAAAGAGAAGGCAGCAGTGGTTATTCAGAGCAGTTATCGGGGTTACAGAAGGAGGGGACAACTCAGAAAAGAAGGGAAACTACCTTGCAAAACTCAAGAGAAAACTATAAAGGAGACAACGGAAACAGTGCATGTTCAGAATAATGATCCCCAAACAACAAAAAATAGGGGAAGTTCCAGTACAGGTGTTGAAGACTCTAAAACGCTGAAAGGAGACTCAGAGAAAGAGGCTTGTGATTTGGCAGCCTTTTCACGGCAGGTAAGAATCTTGTAAGCTACGTGTGTTGAGCATAATACTCTGAGCAATGTTAGTGGCACCAAGGTTTTACTCTTTAAAATAAGACTGGTATTTTGTAATGAGTGTTCAATAAAAATGCTTATTTTGGGCTGCAAGAGAAAATAGCTTTTTCAGGATGGAGGGAAAGACAAAAAGCACTGGCAAAAATTATCTTAGTTTTAATCTGGTTTAGGTTAAATGCAGAAGCTTTGCCTTTGTTGAAGTGTGCATTTACCAGGCAAGGCCCTTAATTCAGTAAACCTGTGAAACGTCTCTGTAAATGAAACTACAAGTTGGAGCACCAATGTCAGGCTCACACACGTGCGGAGAAGTATGCCTGTAGAACCTATTTTACATCAGCAAGGCACCATTTGCTCACATTTGTGAACCAATATGAGGTACCTGCAGGACTGGGCTGCAGTGTAGAGTTTCCCACATATCTTTTTCTTCTTCCATTTTCTCTTCATTTTTAAGAGGGAGGGGGAGGTAAATGTGGTAGGGATCTACACTGAAGCAGGTGGATCAACACCTTTTAGATTCATTCTCTAGTCCACTATTTTACCTTTGGTTACCTTGGAACATGTATGCTTATTTATTAAATAATGTAAAATCCGGTGTTGTATTTTTCAGATATCAAAATTATCCGAAGACTACTTAGCATTGCAGCAAAAATTGAATGAAATGATACTGTCACATCAGCTGAGGCCTGTGATGCTGTCCAAAGATAAGCAAGCTAATGGTCGACTTTCTTCCCACATTTGTCAGTCAGGTAATGTTGAGCCTTACTGTTAGCAGACTTCTCCTTTGTAAACAGGACTGTCAAGAAGCGACTACTAGTCACGTCTTTAAAGGCCAGGGAACTAGTAGATGAGTTAGCTTCTCGTATAACACAGGCTGTATGTTTTTATACTAAGTATGTCATTACACATTTGGAACATGGCTTCCAGAGAAATATCCAAGACTGATTGGGATTTACATAGTCACCATTTTTCTTGGTGTTTTGTTTCAGTACTGCTTAAGATTGATGAACAAATCATTGTGAGACCTAGATACAGTATCTCTAGGAATACTTTAATTTGGTAACAATTCCATGTTGGCTCTTTTTCACTTGGAGGTTACTCAACTGTGTGCTATTGGCAAGACATGGGACTATGTTTTAAAAACAAAACATTTTTTTTAGGTACTATGTCAAACAATTCACTTTGTAGTCAAGGCATGCTCATTTCAAGATGGCTCATGCAGAATTTTAGCAAAATATTTTTTTAAAAATCAATATGCTGGACACTTGCTTTTGGTTTTGATTAAACTGCTGCAAGTTGTTGTGTAGACAAGGTGAGTACAGAGCTCAGAAGGACTTAATCCTTTCAAAGCTGATTGCATTTAAAATGAAGCAGTGATTGCTGTTTAACTAAGAAGCAATGACTGAACTCACTAAAGAGAAATGTGCCACTAAAGCACAGGCCAGCTAAAATTGTCCTACCAGCTCTTAAACACTATAAAGCATGAGCTGGCTCCTTCTACCTCAAACCAAACTGGCCCTTCCAGCCTATTTACTGCTGTCCAGCTAACCGCTTACTGAATGCTCTGCTCCAGTAAGTCAAACTACCTCAAAACCAGTCCTCCTTCAGTTCTTGACAGAAGTCTTGTTCCCAATCTTTCTATAGCCAACTTTCCTTTGATACAAGAGGCAGTATTATACTTTGAGCTAGGTCTGGCTGCTTGGTCTTTCTTGCCCAGCTGGTCTGAGCTGGGCAGACATAGCTTGTGTTCGTTATGTTCTGTTGTTGATCCAAGTACCTTGTATAACTTGCATAGCTACTCTTGAAAAATATAATGACTTTTTGAAAAATAAAATGACTTTTTCCAGATTTTGAACTCCAAAAAAGCATGAAGGAAGGCCAGTTGCATTCTAGTCAGGTTCTGAGAGCCTTCTTGGCCATGATGTGAAGTTTCACTCCCTGCAGCACAGTGGGTTTGACGGTGAACAGTGGGCTGAGCCGCCTATCCAAGGTATAGAGCAATAGTAGCAGGACCTAAGCCTTGATTTCTCACATCCCAGCCATATTTATAACTGCTAGCCAGTCCACCAAAAGACCTTTCTTGATGTGGAATGTGACCTTTGTTTTTCTACATTTTTGAACATAACTCACATGACAGGAAAACTGTTTCCTTTGCAGCCATAACTTCAATGCATATTGAAGTAAGGGAATACGCTGCCTTAATTCTCGAACTTGCCTGTGAGCTGGCTGGAGCCTAAGCATTACAGAGCTCATTCTCAAAGCCACATTGTCTGAAGTAAATGTTTATTGTAGCAAACATAATCTAACTAGGTGTAGAGAATATGCCTGTGTTCAGTTCATTTAGGTTGTACTGTCTACAGTACAGAAGTTAACAGCATTCTGGGTATGCTACTTTCTTCCTGTATGTAATGTAGTAAGATAGATATATAAAACAAAGACTTGAGGTAATGTACTGCAAACTATCATGCTAAAGAGAAGCAGGTAGACATGGTAAGTGATCCACTGCCTATTAAACAGGGAGGAGCCTTCCCATCTTTTTACCTACATTATGTGTTACAGTACAACTTATACACACACATTTACAGAAGCACTTTTACACCTGCACTTTTTGTGCAGGTTTTCCTCGTGGCCTACCTTGGCTGTCCTACACTTACGAAGGCAAGGATTGTTGAGCTTTAGCTGTTCTTTAAATCATGTAGTGTTTACCTATTTTTAACTACTATGGTCATTTACACTAATTTACACTTCTTCCACAGCTTCACTAGTTTTATATGTCGTTTTACAGCTGTAACACATGAATTTCTCATTATAGCTGTATGCCAGGTAGAAACACTTGTCTGCCTTCATCTGTGGGTAGGTGGCTGTTGTTCAGTTTGAGAACTTACCAGCTCCTGTGATGATAAAATATTTTATTGCATTGCTACCCACAGAGCGGGAGGAACTGTGAGATGTCCATATAGCATACTGTGACAAATGTTCCAATTTTCAAAACTGTTTATTTTAATAAAAATGCAAGGCTTGCAATTTAAAGAACATATGAGCAAAAAGGTTAAATTAATCTTAAATCCACAAGGTAACTGAATTTATTTATATTTATAAAAATGCATAAAGCAAGCTACACAAGGCTCCTGGAATAAGCAGTATTCCCTGTGGCTCGAATTTCTGAGTAGGTTATATTTGCTTGCTAAATGCTTTCAGCTCAACATAATGACTGCATCCCAGGATTGCACCTTTGGACTGCTAGTGAGCCTTGGGTTACTGTGGTGTCAGAGTAGGTGCGTAAATGGGCACTGTCAAGTTTTTAGAGGTCAAAGCCTGAAGTGGGGGGAATTTGATCATTATGGGAGCAATATTTTTTCTTTTTCTTTTCAGGTGAATAATGGTGCCCAATACTTCTAAGTATTAAATGACAGTTCAAGTACAAAATCTCAGGAAGAGAGTTTTCTGTATTTAGAATGAAATTCACATGGTACAAGGAGCGCCAGTGCAACTGAGGACCTTTTCAGTTACACGAAGCCGTGAAACAGGCAGGGTTTTTATCTAGGATTCCTCCTGCTGGAGGCTGCTGCAGCACTATTTATGGAGATTCCATGGGCAGCTTTTGCAAGGAGAAGAGAACCTCTGTAGCAGAGGGTGAACAGAGCTGTATTCACTGGCTGCTCTTTTTTCTTTGCAAGTGAGTGGCCAGCCAGGGAGCACTGAGGCGGGGGACTGGAGAAGAGCAAGGTAGTCAAGCACCTCTTGCTGTATGGTTCTTCCCAGCTACGGGAGTGGCGCTTTGGACACCGTGCAGCCAGGATGTACAAGATCTGTGTTGGAAGTTAGTCAGATCCATGGCACATAATAAGATTTGAGAGGTCACAGAAGTGGAGTACAGCCATTTTCCTTAAACATCCTCTCTTAAATACCAATAATCACAGATCACCAGACTCTCAGAAATGAGAGTATTATTGTCAGCCACAAACTGAAACTGCTTCCCTCAGTGAGGCTGGTGGGACGTATGCATGAGAGATTAAACACTCCCAACTCCTGCTGTATGCAATTGGAAGGCTCTCAACCTCTTGCAGTTCCTAGTTCTAGACCTGTGCCAGAATAATCCCTCATTTTTTTCCAGACTGATAAGAATTTGTACTGATCAACCGTAATTTTCAAATCTGGCTGTGGTGAACATCCCATGAATAAACAACAACTAAAAATTACTAACCAGACTATTAAAGAGCAGTGCTTTTCTATGTGCAAATCCCCAAAGTGAGTAATTACATTCTCACGCTGTGTACAATTAGGACAGTAAAAAGGTATGCACATGAATGTTGTAAGCAATAATAGCTGTTTGCTTCTCATTATCAAGTCCTGGAATTCCAGTTGCTTTTTTCTGATTACTTCCAAGCTCCTCTACAAAGCCCATACAATTGCTGCTCTTACTCTTGTTTTTCTTCCTGTTTTGTTCTGAGCCTTCCCTTTATACTTCTGTCCCTTTATGACATGGAACCAGCCCTGAATCAAACACGTAACATTTCATTTAAATGACCTGAAGACAGGTTTATCTATTTCTCCTGGTGGCCTAATGCCTTTCATCACTTAGATTCTTATCTTAGCTGTTACCAGTCTTCAGTGTAAGATCTGTTGTAAGTCATACGTTAATTTACATTAGCTGATTCCTTGAGATTGTTGTCTTCCAAGCTTATCATTGTATGTCAGAATGTGCAGACACAGTTCAACCTAAAGGGCTGTTGATACTGACTCATCTTTATTCAAGCATTTCTTGCACATACTTGAATGTTTCAAGCACATGCAGCTCTCCACTATATCTGTAGTTTGTGGTCGTGTTCGGGATACACATCCATTAAATGAGCTGGTCCTAAATTTCGTGGTCCCTTTTTTTATTTTTTCAGTCAATTTGGATCTTTCAGTGAGGGCTGAGGATGAAAGTAATAATACTTTGTAACTGAACACCGTGGAGTTGAAGAGTGTGTGTGCAACCTAGGTAGGAACCTTTGAGGAAGTGTTAAACGAGCTAGCTGAGATACTGATAGGAATAAGGAATTTTCCTTAGATTGCTAAACCTTCTTTAATGTCGCCTGGCAGCCACACAGTTTGCATGTCTTCACTGACCCTTAACTAAGTAATTCATTCATTCTCATGGAAAATGACCTTAACTTTTCTTAAATTTTCAGTCATCGCTTCATCAAATGTATGTTTTGACAATTTGCTTCAGGTTTGGTCAAGAAAGAAATTTAACTTCCTGGGCATGGTTACAGCGTAGCTGACATTCACTGTGGAGTTCCAAAAGCACAGCGTCCAGGTCGTGAGAGCAGAACGTCTTTCTTTTGACTGAGTACTGACAGCATGCACTTGGGCAATTTGAGGAAAGTCCTTCCTTCCTGCTTATTGTTTGGCCTGTCTTCTCCTTGATAAAACTTTTAGAAAGCAAGGTCTGTGTTAGCATCAAATGGGTTTGTTTCCAGTTTCTCCTGTGCATTGCTTCTAAGGCACAAGGATGTGTTGCAGCACTGACAGCACCTGCTCAGGGAGCAGCAGTCACAGGGCATGGGCTGGCTGCGGCGCCAGGAGTCTCAGCTCAGTCCTGCAATCCAACTCCTTGGCTGTGCTAAAGACCAACTGGGACATAACCTTAAGAAAACTTTGGTGTGTCTTGCCTTGTGCATCTCATTTACCCTGCTAGTAGGATAGGGATGATAGGGCCAGCCTGACATTTCCAAAGTCCTTTGACAGCCACCGTTGTGAATGGTTTTCCTATCAATGTTGTAATGTGTCTATTTAAATGATTGTTAGACAGAAAGCATCAGTTTTCCTTTTAGATATAAAGCACACAGCCAGATCTTGCTGCACATACTTGAAGTCTTAGGGAAAAACACGCTATAAGATAATTTACATGGTCTTCAATAAAAAGCTTTTCTTGGTAAAGGACTCCAGAAGCAACATAATTGGCCTATTAATAAGTGAATGATTTTACTCCTTTCTGCTTCATTGCTTACTGCAGAAAGATACAGGCCATCTGGAAAACAAGCGCATCAAACTCACCATTTATCAGGCTTGTGTATTTAATTTGCCTTCCACCTTTAACTCTACTAAGTAAATGATTTCTGGAATTATCAGCAACTAATAAAAAAGCAAATTTTTCTTTGTGCAGTGAGTTATCCAGTACAAACAACTACCACATCAGCTTTATGTCAGTAGCAATGAACACACAAATTTAAGTGCCAAAGGAAATCACAGGTTCACTTCCTGGTGAAACAAAGAAAGCTAAACCCATCATATTAGTCTTTACTTACTGAGTAATTTGGAGACAAAACTCAGAATTGCACTTTCAGCTCTCCATGTAGTTTTAAAAAGGAATGATGGAGGTCCAAGCTTAGAAGGCTGTCTGCTCCAACATGGATCTTCTGTCTTCTCAGTTCTTTTGCATAGCTCATACTTAGTACAATAGACAAACCAAGATGAAAAGCTTTTTTACCAAAACCCTTATAAATGTCAAAAGAATGGGGTTTTTGAGTGTAAGAGGAGTCTTCGTTGCATAGCATGTACACAAGAAGTATACAAGTAATTTCAGTTAGATTACTTGTATTCTGAAGTACAGCAATGCTTTATATGTTTGACAGTGATGAATTAAATAATGTAACAGTATACATAATGGTGAATTCTTAGAGGACAATAAGAACCTTAGGTATTATGAGAGCCTTTTCCTTGAAATACTCCTAAAGCCTTCAATTTGGCTTTTTTTTTTTTCAAATTTTCATGCAGTCATGATCTCTGACACAATTTTTGAAAATGTCCTGTAGACAAAGGCTTAGGTGTTACTATTCAACTACTCTGAGTTTTAAGGGTTTTTTAAGGTATTGTTTCCAGTTTAGGATCCTGTCGTGTTTAAAAATAAAATAGGGAAGATATGCCTCTACTCTCTCACAAATGGAAACTCAGATAACTCCAGGTAGCCCATTTAAAATGCAGCAGAGTAACAACAGCCAACATAAAAGCACAGTCACGCCTGCTATACCCATTCAAATCAAAGAAAGTAATTTATATTTAATACAGGTTACTGAATTGAATTTATTGCATCTGAATTTCATTGTTTAACATGCATTATCTGTATGCTGGCTTAGAAAAACACTGTTGTTCTCTTAAGTGCAGAATGTTAAAAGATACTTGTTCATTCATTACATGAGAAGCAGTCTGCATTTCAGATAAGAAACTAAAACAATAAATGTAATCATTATCCAACTACAATTTAAATTAGCATTATTTGTTCTGGCTCCTCGCTATACCCATGACCTTTACAAGCCTTTATTTATCACACATAACAAAAAACTTACACAGCTAATTTTGCAGGAGTCAACACTGATGTATTACTGAGTGTTTCTCATTTTAAATGATTGTGCTACCTCTTTAATTAAAAAGATGTCTGATGTACATACTAGAGTTTTTATTTTTATCATGTAAAAGGGTTTCTGATGGTCATTAGAGAACAAAATGCATTCTCCTTCTATGGCTGAATCATGTGCAGTTAGCACATCTGGGTTATGGAGTTAACATTGCTTCATGTGACAGAAGATTAGATTGCTTCAGTAATTCATTGGGAGCCAGATCCTCATTCCATGATCACGCTGTATTCTTTTACAAGTAAGGAAATGGGTTTTTCTCATGGACGGTCCTCTAAATACTTCTGTGGTGGGGTAAGGACAACATAAAACCTCGATGGATAATGCCATATACCTGGACAGGTGGTTCACCATGGCTAGACCTTGTGCTTTGACTTCACTGTTCACCCTGTATGTGTCCCTCTGACCCATTTCTATCTTCAGTGTTGTACTGCTGTGCAAGCCCCTCCTCCTTCATCATGAAAGTATTACTGTAGCCCCCTAATAACTTTTCTTGTAGCTGAAACCAAACGTCAAGGTGATCCGGCTCACCATGCTGTACAGTTGTGCTCCCAGTTCTGTGGTCTCCAAGAATAAGGCATTAGGAACCCTGCATTCTATGTCGTCTCTGTGACAAAGAGCCTACGAACCCTTAGTGGCCCTATATCAGCACTGTCAGAATTGCATATAGCTTTTTAACAGGCAAATATCCAAGACGTTTTTCTAGTTCCCCGTGTGCCAGCCAATGTAACCCACAAGTCAGTGTCTGAGTTTGGAGATTGCCAGAGGACAGCTGTTCCATTTTGTGTTAAAATCTTGATTTCATTTCCCGTAGAATGAAACATTTTTTAAATTTTTGTAGAAATAGACCAGAAGCTGGATACACTAAACTAGATTACACTGCATGTGATGGACATGGTCACACTGTGGTGCCCAGCGGTACATGATTTGGCTTGAAACAGAACAGCCTCAGCAGGAGACCTTGGGGAAAATTGTCGCCATGATAATGGAGTGGACTAAACCGAATCAAAGGTCTAATGCTAGTTCCTTCATTCAGCACCTTAATGGCTGACTTATGTCTGAAAATATAGCATCCCCACCACCCAGGTCCCTGTTAGGAGATGGTAGCCTTCCAGTGTCTGCTACTCTTTAGAGTCGTTTTCTGAATGTGGGGCATCAGACCTTTTCAGAAGAAGAAGCCTGTGCCAGGTGGATGGCTGGGCTGTTCCAGCCTGACATTCATTACGTGGCATGTGTCCATCTGGGTACTTGGGACTCAAATGGATAAACCAATTCTGATTTCCAGTCTGCTGATGGAAATGCCCAAAACAGTTGCTTTCTTGAGTTACAGCAAACACTACATGGATTCTTTTCAGTGACATTCTCTCCTGTTTTTGTAAAAGCCTCCCATACTGTGAAGAAACGAGCATTGCTATCTTCTGCTTTTTCACAGTTGCAGCCAAAGTAGAAGACTCTCGCCCCATGCAGAGACCTCCAAGGAGGCCACGGAAGCCCAAGACATTAAATAATCCAGAAGACTCCACCTACTACACTCTAATACATGTGAGTTTTGCAAGCTTTTGTGAGCTAAATATGCCGGATAATTCTCACCTAAACTTTCTGTCTAATTGCCCAATTCCCTATATTGATTTCTAATGCAGCAAAAAAGCTGTGCCCTGCTGAAAGACGACAGGCCACAAACTTCACATTCCAAAACAGAGTTAAAGTCGAGGTTCAGAGTTACCCTGATTGAGAACGTAGGTCAGAACAATTCTTACCTAAACATACGCACATTCATTATATGCATAAGCAACATTTGCTCTTTCAATACCCAAATTAAGTGTCTGGTATCTGTAGTTTCTTTGTAAGTCATGGGAGAGAACAGGTTCGTTTGGAGAGCTATTTTAAGCATCTAAATTAGTGCTTGATCTTGCAGAGAGAGCAAATATTAAAATAGGCTGTATTAGCATGCACACTGTAACTTCCTTTACAAATGTGTCAGATTGTGATTATGAAGGAATTGGCAAATACCAACAACTCAGGAGACTAATGGATTTGAGTGTCTCTATATATAGCCTTTGGTCCAAGTTCAGCTATCATGGGCTGCTTTCCATTCGTGACTTCAATGCCCTTAAATATAGAAAAAAAGGCACAAAAATAAGCAGAAAGAAAGAAAATGTAAAAGCCGCTCAGAAAGCAGTTCCAACAAAAAAGCAATTAAACTCATTTGCTCAAGGTGTCTGTATCTTAGTGACCTATTTTAACAGCCGGTGAGAGCCCAGCTAATAAACTAACCGTAGCAATTGCTTCTCCTTTCAACAGAAGGTGTCACCAGGGCCTTTAGGGAGAGTTGTGTCTGGCATACCAAAAAAGACAAATACAGCTACATTTTATTATGGAGGCTTCACAATAACAGAGCTTTGGAACAGTGATATTCTGAAAAGAAATTGTATTCTTAAGAATAAATTGGCACTTAAGAATAAGATTTGTTTTGTGAAAGCAAGACCAGTGAGGTAAAGGACTGAAATGAAAGTCATGGCACCGAATTCTGTACCAGGAAATTTCTGAGGAGAAAGGTAATTCTGAAGTAGATGCATATTTAGAAGGATGAAACTATACAGTCAGGACTACAGTGTTTTCTGAAAGCTAATTTGTTACATGTGCAGCGCCCTATCAGAAAATAGCTATCACATCAATGCAAACAAAACCTGCAGCTTTTCAAGGTATTAATCAATATTACCTTCAATTAATTGTATTTTGAAGCCTGTCTTCCTGGTATTAAATTCACTAGTAAGAGAAAAGTTCGGCATAAATATCTATACATGGTAGCTTAGAAAGGAGACCTGCTAGTTCTTAAATTCTTAGACGCTGGGTAAGGCACTGAACTCTAACTTGAGGTACTTGAGGGCACTCAGCTTTCCCAGCTATCAGGGATTTTCTACCTTTACTAAAAATCTTTGTGACCTGCAGGTATTTGCAGATGGTTATTGAGCCCAGATCAACTGAAAGTGAAGGCAGATAATATGAGTGCATTTTTGGAAAATGTTTCCCTATCTTCTGTAAAACCAGCTATTTCTCTCCTCATGTTACATCTCCTTGCATATCAAACAAGCTAAAGGAGTACACAGGTAGAAGTGAAGCCTGACGATAGCCCGTAGTTCATACAAGGCACTAAAAGTTTATTTGGGGGTACATTTATTTAAATCAGCCTACCATTCTGAAATTGCGTGTCTCGTCTGTTTGCCTGCATGCTGAAGTCCATCGGGATTTCTGATTCTCAGTGACTTTCCAGTCACTAATTCTAATAAGTTTTCACTCATTTGCAATAAACACAAGACCAAAATTAAGACCAACTGCACTTAAAAATCCTGCTTCAGAAATGTGATGCTGCAACATAGCATTAATTTGGCCGTAGGGATGGAAATCTATTAGAGATAAGAAATTATTCACATTCCCTACGAATCTTCTCTCCTCTGCATTTCTAAAAGTCTTGTGTCCTAAAGGTACTTTTGCCACCTAGTATGCTGCTTTTTTAAATGGGGCCTTTGGCCATTTTATTCTACTAAAACCTCTGATGAGACTGCATTGACACTAATGAGAATAGGATTATGCCTGGTCCCACGGTGTTGCCTGTATGCATGGAAATTCTCATGGCATCACAGTAAATTTGCCTCAGTGAGACAGTGTTGTCAACTTCATTAAAACAACTATAGATATTTAGTTCTTTTTAGTTCTGATTATGATTACTTCAGCTTTTCTTAACAGTACGGCAACTGAAGTTTGGGACTAACAATGCTATTCCCTTTCTCAGTCTCAGAGATGCTGAAAATAGTTTTTTCTGGAGCATTTTCTCAGCAAATTAGATTCTCTATATTTTCTTTCAACAAGAAATATACAATGCTTTCCTACCTAGCATAATGATGAATTTTATCTTTTCATAAGCTTTCATTTTAATATTTTTTAATTACTTTGTATTTTCTTAGAAATCAATCCAAGATGAAAAACGGAAACCGAGAAAAGAAAGGTAATTTTTTTATTATCTCCCTGTTGTCATTTTAGTACTCTAGAAATAGTTCTTAGCTATACTTCAAACAGGAAAATAAAGTATTAAAAAAAAGCAGCATAGCAATTTGGTGATTCACAGAAAGGACATCGTATACAGAGTTAAAATATGCAATTTTAAATGACAAAAATCCATTATAGAATTCAGTCATTCAGTTTTACTACAGCATGGCCCTTTACCATGGCAACACAAGCATAATGATAAGTTAAGATAAGGTCCACATCAAAGATAGTTCTGACACAGAAAATAATTGAAGTTGCTTAAAATTGCAGTCAAAGCAAATGAGCAACCAGGGGGGATTTTTTGTTAGCAAAATTACAAAGACTGTTAAAATTCTCTGCTAAAAATATACGACTGCTTGGAAATACGTCATAAAAAAACCCAAACCAACAGGTAATTCAAATTTCAACCAGAAGTCTCTTCTTCACAATGTAACTAACTTTTTTTAGTGGATCTCTGCTGAAAAAATAAAACAATGGATATATTCTGCCTTTCTGTATCTTAGCTCCTTACATGTGCTGTAGACCTGGTTCACAGCTCCTGACGTCCATCATAGCTTTATTTGTGTTTCTATGCTTAAGCTTTTCTGGCTACTCGTCGGTGACATTGCTGTGGTACCACAGCCTGCGTGTGCTGGTAGCCTGGCCACAGATGCGAGATGAATGGGCTCTTAGCACTATCCTTGGCTGAGGTTACAGAACAAAAACTCTGTATCTAAAATATGTATCTTAAAGGAAGTTACATGACATTGTATGCACATAATGTGTGCTCACAGCAGCATCTAGCTTCATTCAACTGCAGTTTAAATTACACTTGATTTTGCCACTGCCTAAAGGATTCACTTTAATGTCCATGTTCCCTGTGTCTGGTTCAGCTACAGCCCTTCTTCTGATGTCGTTTGGATCCTGAAAAAAAAATCAGACTTGTTGTCATCTACTATTTAAAAAAAAAATCATATCTGGTGTTTTCTCTCATTCGGCCTCAGGCTTCACTTGTCTTAAATCAAGTTAACCAGTTCCATGACTGCATCTTCTGTCATGTGCTGACTTTGTAGTGGTAGAAAATAGCAACTGAAATCAATGGTTATTTCTGGTTTCTTCTAATGTTAGAACTGAATTCTGAACTTTTTTTTTCAGATTGCTTTTCAGGTATTATTTCTTCCCTAGCCATTCTAAACTGAATGTTGTGTTTGTTTTCTGTACACGATACTCTGAATAGCATTCGTAAGGGACATCTGCTTTATTGACATCGATACCTGAACGAGTTGTTTCAGACTCTCTTCTTGTACTCAGAGCAAAAATAGTCATCTTTAGGACAATTATTCATCTCTTCCTCAAAGAGATATAACAATTTCAGTCATGTATGTCTGCTTTATGAACATATGAAATATTCAGCATTTCAAAATTCTCAGTGTCTGCATTGTACAGCAGTCACATTTCAGAGACTGATTTCTTATGCTTATATATATTTTTCCTTAGATCCTTAACACATAAACACAACTAATAATATTTGGTTGCCTTATTTTTAAATGTTCGATATAGTACTGAAAAGTGAAACTGTTAACTTACTGTACTTATTTATTGACAGTCTGAGCAAAGTGCTAGATTTAGATATCTACTACCAAGAAATTTCTTCTACTGATTCCACATCAAAGGACAGCAGTTCTACTACAAGAAAAAAGAGACATCCAGCTGAGCGCAGGACTTCAATTCTAAGAGCTACCGAGCGGTAATTCATACAAAATAATCATAGGAAAAAAGTAAATGCTATATATCCTTGTTGAGATATTCAAAAGTCATAAAAAGAAAGATAAATCTGTTTTTCTGCTCCTGGAATCCTGTCAAATGAACTTGCAAAATATAGAGGTGAAAATTTCCCATCTTTATGCAGCAGGGACAAATGTTGATACAATTGGTGTTCAGCCTACCTGCTAGCTTTGACTTCCCAAGTGCCAGATGAGATAGACAGACATTCTGCTGTAAATCTCTGATCTAAGATCAAATTAAACTGAAGCAGAACCTAAAAAATCTGTTTCTGACCAGTCAGGTTTTAAATAGGGTGTGTGTGCTTTCTGCCTGCTTTCTACAGATAAGACACCAGCCTGACTGCCTCGTTTACCTGCTGTCCTGTAGCAGCCTGTGTGTTTATAGCCTATGGTGGAACCCTCCAAGGTGGACATCCAGGAGAAAAACCCTCAAGGGAGGATTTGCTCAATGTCCTCTCTTCCCCCATTGACTTGGCGAAGGGTGACCTCTGTGGGGCTATTTGCCAGCCCACCCGCACATGTTGCGCATGCAAAGACATGTTTATATTCATTGCTATATTTTTTTCTTATTGTGTCTTCCTATATGTAAGAAAAACTTACGTTGTGTCTTCCTATATGCAAGAAATATCTAGGTCAAAGGCTTAAGGGGAATAGGAAGCTTGGAAAGATTGCTGATTTTGAAAGTGTACCTATAGTAATATAGAAGCTGTTTGCAGAACATTTTGTGCCCCTTGCATCCTAATTAGCCAGTGTTAAAAAAATATATATGTAACTTTTAAATTTACACTGTTACCTCTGAGGACAGATGAATGCAATTAATAACTATTTCTGAACTTCAGTATCTCTTGAATACGGTCACCTAAATCTGAAGACAGTACTGTCATTTCAGTCTACAGAAGTGAAGCATTAACTGTTTTTTATTCAGCAGTTTATCTTCGACACTGCTGTGGGACCAGTGGTGGGGTACACCTTTAGTGTAGAACACTACCATTTTTCTATTTCAGAGTAATAGAGTTTTCAAATAACTGAGCTTTGCTTGTAATCTTGTTACATGGTAACACCTGGTGCCAGTTCACCATTCCAGCCTGTTAGAGGTGGCTTCCAAAATGCATCTTGCCATCTGAAAGGAAAAAAAAAAAAAAAATTAGATGGACACTTACAGTGAGCCCCACAAGCAGGTTAAAACCAGACCAAACAGATTTGTGCAAACTGAAAATCTTGTTCAGCAACCATCAGGCAAATGCTACTGCAGAGCACCCCCATGTTCTCAAGGTTTTTATGTCCTTTTATTATGTCCCTTTCTTAGAAGAACATGTTATTTTTCTGTGTTGATCTGTCTTTGCAATAAAACGTGTTTGTTCGGAGGTGCCTGCTTTATGCAGCACAGGAAGAGGCCTAGCAAAGTCAGTTGATTATTTTTTCTTTCTCCTTTTATTCCCCCCCCTACCCCGGGGGTGAAGGTTAAGCAGTCGATTAGGAGTGTTTGCCAAGCTAAATGTTTTGACTTTAATTTCTAAAACACTTCTGTGCTTAAGCCCTAGGTCGAGGGTTGCAGAAAGCCCCCTGGAAGAGAGTAAAACCGAAGATAATCCCTATGACTACAGACGGCTGCTGCGGAAGACCTCACAGCGCCGGCGCCTTATCCAGCAGTTCTAGCTGCTGCTGCTGTTCCTGCTGCCATTTGGCTTTTATTAGCATAATCTTTTTTATCATTTTATACCACGTGCTTCCTTTTTTTTTTTTAAATCTCCAATGTTTCAAGTTTACAATGTGTGTGTTCATGTGAATATGAATTACTGTGGTTTACAGCCCAGCACCATTGCAAAGGGACACTGTCAGTCAGATATCATATACTTTAAAAAAACTAGTATAAAAATCATCTTCCTTCTGAATACCAGTGCTACATCTTAAAATTATTAGACATTAAGCAGCTTAAATCTAGTTTACTTTCTCCCATGCATATTTTTCTTTTTTCATCAGTCTTATCCAATTAAAATTGATCATTTAGTTTATAGTTCCCTAGTTAAGCTTTCAATTCCCATATGCATCTTCAGAAAACTTTAGTTATTGTTTCTAACAAATTGTTTTACAGGAAAAAAAAAATACAAGAACACCATAGGGAAATTTCTGCTCATTTTAGGTTTACAATGCCTAAATTTTGGGATGAACTGTTTGTGGCAAGTGTCCCTCTAATGAAAACAAGCATAAATGATTAATTGGATAGCATGCTATGGCAGTTTATTTCATTATTGACTTTACTGTAAAGCTAGTAGCCAGTATTAAAGGTCATTATTATGTGTATAATCTTTATGTTGGAAATACCCATTTATGGGAAGTATATACAGCCCTCTCCTCTGCCTCTGAGCTTTGCAAGTAAGTGATGAGCTTTTAAATTGTGTTTGCTTTGTTCTCCTTGCATTAGATTTTTAGGAGTCTTAATCTCTGGGGTGCCAAGAAAGGAATAGAAATACACTCTCTGGTTGATTGCTGCCTAAATGTAACGATTGTTCTGAATCAGTTCCACTAGAAATTAAGGGGAAATAAAAGCAATAGCCACCATGTTAAAATTTTCCCTCGATTCCTTATTCAAAAGACCGTATTTCACAGAAACCACACAGATAATTGCTGCGCTTCCTTTCAGGATTAATAATTGCATGTTCCCAGCTGCAGAGCAAGAGAAGGCAAATTTCATGATGCCAGTATAAATGCCTGATCCTGCTCCCTTGCTTAGCCCTCCTAAACACTGCGATTGGCGGCAGCAGCGAGCCACAGGGGCTGGGTTTTGTTCTGTTCCCCTCACACACTTGGCCCTTTCCCCAGAGACAGGTAACCATCGCTTTCTGATCTGTAACTAGTTATATCGAACTAAAATTCGCTGCAATGTAAAATTTGCAATACGTTGCTTAAATTTTGAAATCCGTTTTAAAGTTGCTTTGTCATGTACTATTAAAATGGTAAATAAAAATGCACAAGGCAGCGATACAGATGTCTGTGTCTGAATTACATGAAACTGGGGAAACACTGTCAACTGAGGCATAAATGAGGGAAGCGGGGAAGAGCTCCCAGCAGCCTCTTGCCTGGAAAGCGGAGTTATCACCTGCGTTTCCTAAAAGCCAGCGTACTCTGGAAACTGGAAGAGACCTGTAATTTCACACGAAGAGCTGCCTGGGTTTCTTTTACTTTCCCACCAGGGCAGTGTTTTAAAACATCAAGGCATTTCCGTGGGATTTCACGGGGGGCAGTCCTGGTAACCACGTGCGTGCAGGCAGAAAGCGGAGAGAGATGCCCTCGGCTGAGCGCGGCCAGGGACCTTCTCCCCGGGCCTGGCT